AATATGTTGAGCACATCTGAAAGGATAATGCATTCTGATGAAGCATGTGCATGCGCTGCGCACCGGTCCTGCGCCAAATATCAGAGTACAGCTTATCTTTAGGAAATTAAGGATAAAGGAAACGCTAATAATTATGTTTTGTTCTCCCATGTTTGCGATAAACGTACAAAGTTTCCCTTTGTTCTGTAAGTTAAATATCACACTGTGTACAGTGGGACTATGGGATACGGTAGTACCATTCCCAAAAAATCAGTGAGAATGATTGAACTTGTTGCTTTCTAAATTGAAAAAGGAACAAAAAAATCATTCCGTAAAGATGTGCAATGACAAGCAAATTTAGCACAACTGCAAGATAATTCCATTTCAATGAAAAACATATGAAATTAAGTAAACCTTACCTATGGCACTGTGGGCTACCCGAAAAACGATTTGTGAAAATACAAACAAGTGATTCCATGCCGTTACCCGCCATACATTTTTCCTCTAGTGCGCAGAGAACGTACCTGAACATGATACAAAATTTAGAACAAAACCTTAAAGTACATGACTTTAATTTTTTTTTCTTCTTACGAAATGAAAAGAAAAAAAATGAAATCATGTATTTTAGGGTAATCGGCAAACTGGACTTGGAGGTAAGCACAATTGTTAATAAGGAGGATTACTTGCTTACTCTTCACCTTTAAGAAACGTTCTTAAAAGTGTTTTAATTTTTGGTGACTCTTCCTACAGAATCCTGAGCTTATAGACTGTTCAATTTCCTTTATGCACTTCGCTCAAGACACTCACCATTTTAAAATTTGTTCTACTGTATCTTTTGTTCGAACAGCAAATACAAATCCAGCCTCGTACATTTTCGCCTTTGGTTTTGTTATTTCGGTTACATTTGTCGGTATGAACTTGTAAATTTCTGAAATAAAACTTTGCCCTGTTTTACAAGAAATTGAAAGCTAAAGATTTAAATGGAAGTGTACGTACGTGGTGAGGTGGCTGGGTAGATACCATGTCCTGAATATCCATGCAGCAAATATGCTGCCTGAAAGGAAAATCCATTTTTTGACGAGCTTTACAGATACATCTAGCCT